AGCAGGAATTCCACTGGGATGAGGGCTAATGCAGCACACCACAGTAAATAAATATGGCATAAACCCCCTCATCAGTTCTTAAGAGTTTATATTTTGATCAGTGAGGTGATGTTACTAACAGGTGGAGAAAAATCTTCCAGTGGTAGGATGAAGGACAAAGGAAAACTGAAAACAGAATCACACATTATTCACAAACCAGATAAAAGTGTTTGCTATTAGGAACACGAAGGTATGGAGGTTTGTCTTTCTCTGAAAATATCCACTGTCCTTAGGACAAATTTTACACTCGGACCGAAACAAATATCACCAATTTCAGTATTTAGAGGGTGCATGACCCACATTTTTTTTTTTTTTTTAAAGAGTAAAACACAGTTTAATTCAGTTGCAAAAAAAAAAACCAAACAAAACAAAACAGCAAACCAAAACCATAAACCATAAATTATGATATCCTTATTCTGTTGAATATCTTGGACACATGTACACCATGCAATTTTCATGATCATTTATGAACACTAAATTGCTCTTGTAACTGTAGAACAATTCTACTATAGCAACTTTCAAGTGTCAGAAATTGCATGGAAAAGGAGAATAACTAGAGCTTAGTTGTAAAACAAGAATATTCTATCGTACACTGACTAGTAAATTAAATCAAGAAATAATGCAAATAGAAAAAAAAAACAACATTCTAAACCTGGTAATTTTAATTGTAACTAAATCTATTCGGGGAAAAAAGGCAAGCAAATAAAATGACACTTATTACTTGTCTCTAATGCTTTTATTTCAGTAGAAAAGTTGCAGTACTAGTATATATGCTAAGGGTATTGTTATTATTGCAGAATAAACATCATGCCAAGTTAACTGCCAGTCGAGATTTAAGCAAGTCTATTTGAAGCCCATAAAATAGGATCATTGTATTTCCCTTCAAATAAAGCCAAAAAGCAAGCAAACAAACGAAAAACTGCAGTCATCACAGGAAACTAATTGCTTGACTAGAAAATCATAGTTAACTCAAATGAAACAGCTATCCTGTATTTTATTGAAATATTTATCCTTGTCCCAGAGTATACTGCTGTTTCCCACCAAGTGATTTAATATTGACATCCATTAATTTATCAAAGCCATTTCCATTGACTCACTAACTGTTTTACTCCTCTGACAGGCCCTCTGCTTCCTATTCATCACAATCATGTCTTGCAATAGGCTGAGACCTTCTCCAGCACCCGAGGACAATCCAGTCAATCTACTGCAATTACCTGCATGACATTCTGCCTCTTTACTGCTCAGAAGCAGCAAGAAAACATGAGAAATCTCCCAAGTTAGTAGCTAGCTGGTTTTCAATATTTGAAAGTGTAATAAACCCCCAAGCCCTAACAAGATTAAATACATTCAAAAGAACAACTAAAACTTTCAGTAACTCTTTTATGAAGGGGTTGAATCAGAGGGAAGTGCAACCCTCTCTAGATTTGTATTTCCAGAATATCGTGGTGCCACTCAGCTTCCAGAGTGCTTATAATAAATCACAGGATAATAGGCAAATGCATCTGAGAATGACCCACTTCTCTTTCCAGCTTTTCTCCAACCCATCCCATTTTTAAATAAAACTAATAAGAAGTCTTTTTTTCTGCAGAAGAAAGCAGAAAAAGTATTCAGTCCTTTGCTTCCACCAATGTTGTGTTTCCCCTCCTCTTTTAGTTTATTTTCTGTGTCTCTTCACACAGAATTTAATGGTCTACTTCTATCACTATTATGTATTTTTGAGGGGTCCTGAGCATCCTCTGTAAGTGTGTGGGATGAAGATCAAGGGGAGATAAAGCAAGCTGTTAGGTTTGCCACTCATGAAATTACTTTCACAGGTGATCATTAAAAATAGTTGGTTAAGTGCATAATAGATTATGCACGAGTTTAAGTGCATTCAATATCTATTTTGTACTAGAAATTACAAACAACTAGTGTGGCCTTTTGTTTGGTCAACAGCTGCCAGGGTGAACTGTACATGCTTCTTCCCTTCACATAGAGTGAAAGTGATGGGAATTTGTAAATCAAAACCTTTTACTTTCAATGTACAATAATATCAAATGCATTTTAATTTACTTTGGAAAAAATACACATTGATTTGGTTATTTCCAGTAAAGACAGAATAAAACCAACCGTAGACCAGAAGTTCTTATAAAGATCTAGGGTCAAACTACAGATATCAGAAAGAGACACTCCAAATAACTGCCTAAGAAATCCATTTATTTCTTAAGGAGAAAGAAAAAAGAATAAACAACCCATCAGTAAGATGCAAAGGAAATCGAGATGTGAGTTTCAGGTTAGAGAAAAATCCTTGGACTCTCCACAGAATTTGTAGCAATTCCTCTGTACTCTACAGATAAGGGGAAAGACATCTCCTCAGTCTTTTAAAAACTGTTTTTAATCACTAAAGTCAGTTGTAAGTTCTGTACATACAGTGGAACTGCAAAATACCCTTCTGTGCTGATAATAACCTTGGTAACCTCAAAATGCAGACAATTTAGATGCAGTGAAACTGTATTTTCTAATGACCCTATTCAATCTTCAAACTCATCCTTCATCTTGGAGTTATGCCAAGTTCTTTCTTTTGGGATACAACAACAGATAATCATAAGCCAAACAATTTTTTCAGTAACAACCACAAAATCCTGTTGTCTTCTATTGAGTTTCACTAGTGCAGTTCACTGGTACTTCTCAAACAGATTTATTGATCATGCAGAAAAAAAACCAAAATCCACTACCTTGATTAAAAGATTAGGCTCACAGAAGTATCAAGTATTTGTAATCCACTGCATCAAATACAACACACAAGCAACACATTTATTAAGGCACTGCTGCCTCCCATCTCTTCCCAGTACTTCAGAATAAAAATTGAAGTGCATTTTCCTCTCTGTACATTTCAGCTTTTACAGAATTGTGATGCCTGACAGCAACCTTTCCAAACACCTTTTGCTGATAATGGCAAAGAGTAACCATCAGTCATGAATGGCTAATGTGAAAGTT